ATTTTTGTTTTCTTCACTCATTTATTTATACAAAGTTATTGGACACCTACTGCATGCCAGGCATGAAACCTTGTTCTAGGATCCCAGGACACAGCAATCATAAGGCAAGCAAGTTACATCACTGGTTAATCACTTTGCAACTTTCTAACTGCAGAGCACACCACAGAATTAGTTACATAGCACCCAGCTAGGCAGTGGATTTTTACTTTAGATTTTCATTTTTTACTATACATACTTGAAAACTTTTTTTTTTTCCTTTTTTACTGACCAGTAACGGGATCGCAACCCTCGGTGTCGTGCCCGTACTGGGGACCGGCAACGGGATCGCAACCCTCAGTGTTGCACCCGCACCGCGCTCAGCCAGTGAGCGGGAACCAGTCTCCACATGGGATCCGAACCCTCGGCGGGAGCGCCGCTGCACTCCCAAGCGGCGCACTCTCCAGTGCACCACTGGGCTGGCCCTATAAAATACTCTTAATTTTTCCAAATTAAAGTGATTGGAGGGGCTGGCCTGTTAGCTCAGGTTGTTAGAGTGCAGTGTTATAACACCAGAGTCAAGGGTTCAGATCCCTGTGCCGGTTGGCTGCCAAAGAAAAAAGTGACTGGAGTCATACTCTCTATATTCTAAAATTGGTGCTCCAATATCCCATGTCTGTGCTCATTCACCTCTGAGGGGAAAATAAGATAGTTTAATTAGGCTCTCTATGAAAGTCTCAGTTTTCACAGGGATATGTCAATTTTATCAACTCATTAGGTACATTTCCACTTAACTGGCAAGATACACGTACGCTCCCTGTATAAGGGAGTATCTTCTCAAACTTCTACAAAAAGAAGAATATTTGTAGTAGAGACATCTGAACATTATACCATGAAAATTTATTCCTGGATTGAATTATCACCAGGGAGACATATACTTGGATTGCATATCATAGCAGCCCCTATGAGGATTCACAATGAACAGTTCGCTAGTTTGTGTGTTAAGCAAATGCCTTTTTACCTTAAAACCATGGGATTCCCAACTGGACAGCCTTTCTTGGGGCCAATTACAGGTATGCATAGGACAGAATTTATAAATCACAGCAAGTATACAGGATTCCATAGTATGTACTTTTATGCTAATCTGTCATTTGTCTCCTTAGCCATGTTGTTTTTGAAAACTACCTTAAACTTATTTTGAAATTAATTTTGTGGTACAAATAATTCAGAGTACATAAGCTTGTTTTCCTTTAGTAAAATTTCAACATCTTTTGTTACAGAAAAAATCTCCCTCTCATACTGGGAGTATAAATTAGCAAAGCCTTTTATTCCATTTATTTGTGTGTGTTTGGTTGTTGGAAGCTACTTAGACCTTTCTTGTTTTCTATATTCATTACTCCCATCGATGGTCTCTCTCTCTCACTTAACCTTTTTTTTTTTTTAAAAGATGACCAGTAAGGGGATCTTAACCCTTGACTTGGTGTTGTCAGCACCACGCTCACCCAGTGAGCTAACTGGCCATCCCTATATGGGATCTGAACCCAGGGCCTTGGTGTTATCAGCACCGCACTCTCCCGAGTGAGCCACGGGCCGGCCCTCTCACTTAACCTTTCAACATCAATTATCATCTGAATTGTCTCACAGAATACAAAAATGCATTATTTTGTCTATTTGATTCATCTATTTCAAATTAGTTGGGAGGGAAAAAGAAAATTCATACACTGAAAATGAACCAAAAGCAGTAAGTTTGACATCAGGGGTAAGCATATTTTAAACTAATAAATAAACCTTTACTTTACAAATGCTGAACTTTTAATTGCCTTAGCAAAGCAATATATATTTGTGTTTAATAGTTCTCAAGTTGCTATGAAATTCAAAATGCTATGAAATTCTAAGATTGATAAGCAATGACATCCTAAAAAAACAACCAGCGAGGAAATAACTACTCTTCTTGAATTTTTGGAAAATGTGACAGGTTTCAACCTAAGAGGGGTATGCTTAATATCCCTGAACTTGCATGTAAAATTGTTTTGCTGGTTTTCTGCAAATTCCTAACTCCTTTCCAGATTACTGCTCCACAGGGTAACCACTATTAAGAGGTTCCTGTATTTTCTTACAGATCTTATTCTATGCACAGGATATATAATTAAAAAAACAAATACGTGTATACAAAAAATTTTTTTCATATGTGCACTCTTTTCCTGAGACAGATTGCGGTTTCTTCGTATTTTTAAGGGCTCCATGACCAAAATAAGATTAGATAGGAACCACTGCTGTAAGAAGTTTAAAGAACAAAAGTTTTTCTTACCCCTCAGTGAGCGGAAAAAAATCATCTTAGCTTTTAATACTATAGATGATAACAAAAAAGTGAATAGGCCCAGAAATACCTGAACTTTTATTTCTATATTGGGCAGTTATGCAATCTAACACACCTAGTCCTTAAGCCATGTAGATATACACAAGATATATAATGTATGAGGGCACTTCAAAAAGTTCATGGGAAGATTCACCCATCTTTCAATTACATTTTTCCATGAACATTTTGAAGTGTCCTCATACATAACATTATACCCATGCACCCACTTCCTCTAACAGAAGTTCCCTTTTTTTTTTTTTTTTAAGAAAAAGATGACCAGTAAGGGGATCTTAACCCTTGACTTGGTGTTGTCAGCACCACGCTCTCCCAAGTGAGCTAACTGGCCATCCCTATATAAGGATCCAAACCCGTGGCCTTAGTCTTATCAGCACCACACTCTCCCAAGTGAGCGACGGGCCCAGCCTCAGTTCCCATTTTCATAAAAGAACTTCTTCTTTTTTTTTTTTTTCCGTGTCCGGCAACGGATTGCAACCCTCAGTGTTGCCCCCGGACCGGACCGGGGACCGGCAACGGGATTGCAAGCCTCGGTGTTGCTCCCGCGCCTCGCTCAGCCAGTGAGCGGGAGCCGGTCTGCATGTGGGATCCGAACCCTCGGACGGGAGCGCCGCCGCGCTTCCCAAGCGGCGCACTATCCAGTGCGCCACCGGGCCGGCCCATAAAAGAACTTCTTGATTGTTGAGACCACACCTACCATCCCATTTCCTCTCTCTCCCCAATAGCACCCAGTCCTGTGGTTTTCTTCCTTTCTGGCCTTTCTTATCTAGCATTCCAGGTACGCTACTAGCTTAAGGCCATTATACTCGCTTTTCCCTATATGAAGGTACTTCAAAAAGTTTATGGAAAGATTTGTATCCTTCAATTTTATTTTTCCATGAACTTTCTGAAGTACCCTTGTATGTCACATGCTCTTCTCCCACATACGTAGATGTCCCTCACCTTCAGATCTTCAAATTTTGACTTTTCAGGGAGGCCTTCAAAGACCACCCTATTTAATCTTGTATCTCCCCTTACTTCTTTATTCTCCCTCTCGGCTTTTTCTCCTTACCACACCTAACATCTACTTGTCTTTAATTATATTTATTGTTTCTTCGTATGGATTGTGGAAGTTTTCACTTTGATGATATGCTGCTTAAGTTTTTAAAATACTCCTGTAGTCAACAGATTGATATTCTATTTAGGGCTATGGTTTCCAGTCTTTTCAATAACCTGGTTTAACAACAAAAACCCTCTAGATACCAACAAAAGATTGTCAACTTCTTTGGATATCCTTTACTGGCAAAAAAATATTTTTTTTTAAAAAAGGTGTTTTGAAAAGTTAGCTTTTTAATAAAGTTGTCCGAGACACTTCAATCCTGTAGACTTACAAAATTCTCATTCTATGGATCAGAGACCATAATAATTTTATTCCTACTGTTTTGAGAAAATAAAGGAGCTCATGATCCTAATGCCTTTTTGAAAAGGTAACCTGAAACACCCTCCCCTCATATTATAGTCATTTAAGTGTGTTTCCTACTATAATGTGGGCTTCTTGAAGATGTGAAGTACTTATTTATCTTTTCTTCAGCATGGTGCTGGTACTGAATACTCTCAATATTATAACTCAGTCCACACACACAAAAAACTAAGGGAAGAAAAACAGGGATTTTAAAGACCAAAGAAGGGACAAGGATTACATTCAGGAGTAAGAAAAAATATTAGGAAAAATTAGAAAATTTACTCAGGATGAACAAAACCTTGTATGAATATATACTGGGGGAATGTGAGGAAAAGGAAAAACTAGTTCTCAAATCAACCCAGTTTTATTTTTCCATTGTACCACAATAAAGACACAATCCCGTTTTCAAAGAAATTAACTTTTATTTGAAGGCAGACTACGTTTCCATCTTCTAAAGACTCTATGCTATACAATAACCTGCTTAACCACTGTCCCAATACTAAAATTTCTAACAGCAAATTATACAATTGCTGTAGGTAATTAAATAAAGGCTGTCCTTCACTGTTAAAGGAATACTTAAATTTCAATAAGTTTAACACAAATATCACACTTTAACTTTGTAAGGTTTAACAGATGTAACTTCAAATACAACATGTTTTTGTAGGAGTCCACAAGCTTTTCATTTCTAAAAAAAGACTTATTTTTAAGGGTACAAAAATTCTGTTCTTCAAAAGAAATGTTCAAGGAAGTTTTTTTTCTATAGCTTCAAACTTTCTACACTCAACTATTTGCTCCATGCCTCCCCAGACAAACCTGACATGACCGAACCTACTTTATGTGTTACTATCTTCCCTGAAAGTTAAAAAAGGAGTTCTTCGTAAATGCAGACCTCTGATGCAATATCTAACACAAAGGAAGCTTTAAAAATTGTTTCTATCCTCATTTGATTAGCTAGGAGTTAATCATCTGTAAAAGCAAAGAAAAAAAATCACAAAGCATAACACTGGGGTTCCTTTTTACTCAAGATGTTTAAACTACTCAAGATGACAACAATTACATCTTTAATAGTACAATAAAAGGAGTGGAAAACATCAACACAATTGACAAAAGTGCAGATGCTAACTGAACCAAATATATTTTTTAAGGGCTCTTTTATAGGAATAGGAAGGATTAGAAGGTTGGGGAAATCCAGAATTTAAAAAAGAGAGAGAGAGAGAGAGAGAGAGAGAGAGAGAGAGAAAAAAAATAAAGGGGAAAAAAGTCCTTAACTGCAACTATTCCGTTATCAATAGCGTCCTGAAAGAGAAAGAGAGAAAAAAAAAAGTCAAAATGACAACTGTAGTCTGACTTGTCTGACTTTTCCCAACTATTAACCACCACCAGATATACCCTAATATTACCCTAATACTCTAAAATAAGCCACTGGGTTCTGATCCTCATACCAGCCAACCACCAAAAAATAAATAAATAAAATAAAATAAGCCATTAATTAGAAATGAGGTTTTTTAATGCTACCAAGGCAAAGTTTACGTACTTGGGCTGTAGGAACGAGATCTTGATCGTGATCTGTATCGACTATAATAAGGAGAAGGTGACCTTCTTCTGTAAGAAATAAAAGATTACTTAGCATATCACATAATTAACTCCACTGAGGCTGATGAAAATAAAAATTCCTCATCATTCAAAATAATGTACCTATGATATGATAACTATTAAGATCTCTCTGTACCAATGATACTAGAACAGTAAGTATGTGGCACAACAAAATATGGGTAAATACAGATAGTTCACTTCTGTTCTCAAAGCATCATATACAATCTATTTTAAATATCAAGTTTTTATTCATACACATCAAATATAAAAGTACCAAATAACACTACTATTATCCAATTTAGAACATAAATCTTAAGTTAAAACATTACCTGTACCGGTAATCATAGTCTTCATATCTGTCATATCCACGATCATATCCTCTATCATAGTAAGAATCTCGACGTCTGCCACCTCCTCCGCCTCCACCTCCGCCTCCACCTCCACCGCCACCACCACTACTACAGAAAAATGTAAAAATTTTACATCAGTGCGAATGATTATTTTCTGGGATCATTTAATACCAATTGGTAGCTTTAAAAAAATGCAGCAGGCTGGCCAGTTAGCTCAGTCTGTTAGAGCACAGTGTTGATTACACCAAAGTCAAGGGTTCAGATCCCCTGACTGGCCAGCTAACATTAATTAATTAATAAATTTTAAAAAACGGAGGCAAAGACAGATAAGAGAGAAAGAACATTTGGGCCAGCCCGTGGCTAACTCGGGAGAGTGTGGTGCTGAGAACACCAAGGCCCCGGGTTTGGATCCTATATAGGGATGGCCGGTTAGCTCACTGGTTGAGTGTGGTGCTGACAACACCAAGCCAAGGGTTAAGATCCCTTTACTGGTCATCTTTTTTTTAAAAAAAGAAAGAACAACATTTTCACGCCAATTGCCTCCTTATCTCATTTTGCTGACTTCCGTGGTATTCTGCTTTGCCTTCTTATTCATTACATACATAACCAAGAATGCTTTTACAACTATAATCTGCTATTCTATTAATGCGCTGCCCACATCATCAGGACCTTTTCAATAAGGTAAAATGAAGCACTGTGTTGGGAAATAGTACCAAAAAGCTAAGATATGTATCCCTATTACTAACTGAAAGGCAACTAGTTAATGTCAAGAATTTTAAAAAGTAACCAACCACCTTACACAAAGGTATAGCACTAAAATAATTTCAAGGTCCGATGTTTAAAACCTTTGGCAGTGAATTTAAACTCTAAGCCCTTTCCCCTGGTGTTTTCCAAACTCCTAGCCATAGGGACACTATTTTCACTTTAGTTTTCTGTAGGTTCTCCTTACCAAAACCATTTCCCCCAATGTTTCAAAACTGAAAGCCTGTATTCCCTTTTGCACTCCCAAGAAATATCTCTGTGAATAATATCTCTGGTTGTATGTTAAAAAACATTATAAAAGCCCCTATTTATGTTTTGTTCAATGTGACAATTGTAGCTTTTTTTTTTAAACAAACACTAATATCAATAAAATCTGCCCTATACACAGAGACTTCTCAGGTTGCATAAAAACAAAAAGAATATTAAAGGACATATGATATTTTTCTAGTATATAATAATTTTTCTATTTGTATAGTAGCACAAAGAGAAAAGCTAGGAATGCACTTCGATAGTTTTAATTTGTCCTCTTGCTGAAAAAGAGAGGAAAGAAGGGCGAGGGAAAGAGGAAGAAAGGGAGAGAGGAAGTGAAAGAACAGAAAAGACTCAAAGAAATTATGCAAATTAAATAACTTTCATCCTTAATTATAGGGAAAAAAACATTTTATCTTGTGATTAATGAAAATTTTGCACACATTTCTAGTGCATTTCTTCTTCTTCTTTTTTTTTTAAAAGATGACCAGTATGGGGATCTTAACCCTTGGCTTGGTGTTGTCAGCACCATGCTCACCCAGTGAGCTATCTGGCCATCCCTATATAAGATCCGAACCCGTGGCCTTGGTGTTATCAGCACCACACTCTCCCGAGTGAGCCACGGGCTGGCTCTTTTCTACTGCATTTCTGGCTCTTATAGTTTAGCTTAGGAAACCTGAAATCTTACTGAGTTGGTCTGCCCATGTAGATGCCTGGTGTAGGTGTATGTGCTCTTTTGGTGATAGAATAATCCACTCGAATTCTTCTACCATCCAGCTCCATTCCATTTGCCCTTTCCATAGCCTGTAAAGGAAAACAGGCACAGAAAGTCACGCATAATTCACTAGCCTTCAAGTAATAATTACTCAAAATTAGGCAGAAAGTATGTGTAATCCAAATAAATTCCAAATTTTGAAAATGACATAGCAATGCAGCTTGTACAGGGGACTGTATAAGCATTTCTAGACCTCAACAATGTCCAGAACACATTTTAATTTACCCAGCTCAAACAGTAGTTAATAAACTTTCCCCCAAGTAATTTTCCAGCTCTGGCTCGGTTCCCACTCCCCATTCCAAGAGATCAACAAGGGGAACAGGAGTGAAAAGTCTTTCATGTTAAACATTTTGTGGGTTGTCCAGGTAGTTTGCCATTTCATTATTCTTAAGTCTCCGGCTATTTCACATATAAAGACTGTTTTCAAAACATTAAAAAGGATGAGTTAAGTTTCAGGTTCTAATTATAACCTGCCCCCATTCTTGTTCTTTAGTTTGCAGTCCCGTATACTGATAAGACTCAGAAGCCAAGAAGAAATGATGATATAAAGGGATATACAAAACACACATTTCTGGTAATGCTTTTCAGCCTTTTACAGAGACTGAACCAATAAAGACACACAATTTTAATGTAATTCACAAATATTTCACCTTAATAGTTCCCCAAAGAGCTAATTCTTTTACTTTAATTAAAACCAACATACTCTGGGGCCGGCCCCGTGGCGCACTCGGGAGAGTGCAGCGCTGGGAGCGCAGCGACGCTCCCGCCGCGGGTTCGGATCCTATATAGGGATGGCCGGTGCGCTCACTGGCTGAGCGCGGTGCGGGCGACACCAAGCCAAGAGTTGCGATGCCCTTACCGGTCACGAAAAAGAAAAAAAAAACCCCAAAAACCCAACGTACTCTGACAAGAGGCTATGCTCCTATACGATCGATATATCTCTTTGGTCTCACCTTTCAGAAGAACAACTCTGATAGTATTGTTTGTTTCTGGCAATTAAAAAACTCAACTTAAAAAAATAATTGTATCCCACAAATAAGTGTCTGTAAAACAAAAATTGCAACAAATTTAACACATTTTCTTTCTTTTTTTTTGTCTTTTTTACTGACCGGTAACGGGATTGCAACCCTCGGTGTCGCGCCCGTACTGGGGACCGGCAACGGGATCGCAACCCTCGGTGTTGCGCCCGCGCCACGCTCAGCCAGTGAGCGGGAACCGGTCTCCACATGGGATCCGAACCCTCAGCGGGAGCGCAGCCGCGCTCCCAAGCGGCGCACTCTCCAGTGTGCCACCAGGCTGGCCCAAATTTAACACATTTTCCATTTGAAATTTCAAAAATCAAAATTCTTTAAGCACTTCTTTCTCAAACAGGTGAGGAGTTTACATATTAATCTTCACTATATGCATAACAATAGTTTTGATTTTTCTAATATACACAGAGGCTTTAGATAAAAAAAAAATCAGAAAGCCTGTGCCTAAAGACTGGGGGGCAGTCACAGCCTTAGAGAAGCAACCACATAACTCAGGGAAGCCTATATAATTCTGAGGTTGGCAGTAACTAGTTTCAGTCTGGGCAACTCAAAACAGAAATTGCAATTCAGCTGACAAGTCTAAACTAGTCAAGTCATTCCTTAGGTAACACACTGCCACCTAGCGAACTCCAAATATAGAGGAACTTCTAACCCTGCCAACAAGTCCTATGTCTTTATACCTGAGCTCACATTTCCTATCACTTTGTCCTTAGGTACTAATACCAATAAATACAATGATAATTTAATCACTTTAGAAAATGAAAATATTTGCAAGAAGTTCTTTGAAACCTAAGTGAAGTTGCCATTTTCATTTTATCCAGAAATAAACCAAGGGAAGAAAAAAGAGGTAAGACAATAAGTTCCCCATGGAAAAAAAAAATTAAATTGTGTTACTATTCCCACTTTGCAATTCTTACTTCAGATCAGATATTTTGATATCTCTAAATTTACACCTTTATCTCTTGAGTACAGGAATAAACAAATCACAAATACGTAACAGTAAAAAAAAAAGTCATGACTGACTAAGACATTAGAGTGCCTATTACATATATGACTTACAAACGGAAGTATTATTTTGTTAGAATTATCCAGGGTTGCAGCACTACTGACATTTTGGGCCTGCTGATTCTGTGTTGTGTGGAACCATCCTGCACACTGTAGGATGTTTAGCAGCCATCTCTGGCTTCTACTCACTAGATGCCAATAGCATCTATTGTTTTTGAAAGACATGCCAATTTTTATTAGGGCTGCTTATGTTGCATTCAAACACTGTTGGAGCACAGAGCAGTAATGACCTATATCGAACTGCTATCACATGTAAAATGGCACAAAAAAGTAATGCCTGTACCTTAAATGGTCTGATAAAACTTCAATGTTGAGTTTTAAATTCCTTAAAATGCAATTTTCTAACTCAATTATTTAAGAATTTATAGTAAAGAGAAAACAAGTCTTCTGCTTCCTTTATAATTCAATACCTAGTACATAAGCTATTTTTTCTTTCTCTTTTTCTGGCAGCTGACCAGTATAGGGATGGAACCCTGGACCTTAGTGTTAACAGCACTATGCTCTAACCAACTAAGCTAACTGGCCAGCCCTATAACTAATACATTAGAATAGCACTATTTCAAATCTCTGACATCAAATAGGGTCATTTAGTTAGGCACAAGAATGGCATTAAGCAACAAAAAGACCCTATCAATTCTTTCCATGTATTCTTCACAAAGCTCTGAATCTATAAGGAGCTAATTACAGACACAAAATAGATTAAATCTTAACATCATAATTGTCAGAAGTCAATTTAGTCATCTGCTTGGAGCATCAATACAGCTGATTCAAAAGAGAACACCTACACACTTTTTCCATTAACTCAAACACATATAGTTCACTTTATAAAGCCAGACTTCAATAACTGTCCTAGAAAGTATAAACTGAAAAATTTAACTGTGGTCACTCCAATTCTAACATTGAGAGGCACAGTTTGAATCAGGATCACAGGGAGGACATGTTTACAAAAATGGGAGTCTATTAGTCAGCTTTTAATAGCTAATCAATACTGTAATCATGCATATCAAAAATTTTTCAAGATGAAAATGATAAAAACAAATTTACCTCCTTTGAATCATCTATTCTTTCAAAATACACAAAGGCAAATCCTCGCGATCGCCCAGTTCGCTGATCATAAACCACATTAACGCCACTCAATGGTCCATATCGAGAAAATACTTCCCGAAGATCTCTCTCTGTTGTGTACAAACTGAGGCCAAACACTCCAAGACAGGTGTTGGGATCTGGATTTGCCTATTGAATAAAGATGTTATTTAATTTTAAACTCCAAATTAAAATCAAAATTAACAAACAGAAATACTTTGTTCAGGACACCTCACCCAATACACAAAGAATATATTGTTTCTAGTCATTTGGAAATAAGATTTTAAGAGAACTAAAACAGATGAGTCATACTTTACAGTACATCCAGGCCTTTGGAATATACTTCCTGGCCTGAATAAAAACATTCCTACTCACTAGACCAGGTATTTACTAAGAATTCATCCTCAATTTAATACCATGTATTTCTAATTTATTTAAATTTTTTACATCCCTTATACATTTGTACCTAATCTGACTTCACTGTAATTGCTGATTTAGACTCCCCTTGCTCCATTTTCATTCTTTTCCAAGAATACTCTTTCAATGTTCCCATCATCTGGATTTAAAAAATCAAAGTACAGATTTCAAAACATCATTAAATAACAAAATACTCCACCAAGTGAGATAGTAGAGCATAGCAGTTAAGCACAGGAACTTTAGTCAGGCAGCCTGGTTGAATCCTGGGCTCTGCCAGTTAGCAAAAACAAAAACAAAACAATCTCTCAAATGTCACACATCCAAGATTTGACTGCCTTGTCCATAACATAACCTGCCTCACAGAGATGTTAAGAGTATGAAATACACTGAATAAAAGTGTTAAGTTATTATTACTACTAAGTTTTCGGTACTTCCCTGCCTGCCTGCGCTCCCCTGCCCACCTCCCATAGTTAAATTTTGAATGTATCTCAATATTCTCAAATCAACTCAGTTTATGCTTTCCATTTTAATTCTTGGAAGATATTTCTTCCCAAATTGCATCTCTTTTTTAACTACTCAAAAGTAAAAAAAAGAAAATACACTCCCCTTTGTAATAGCTGTTGTGAAACATGCAAGCTTATTTACTAGGATGGTAGCATTCCTTTATCTGTAACATTTTCTATATTATAACATTATGTATGACATTTTCTTTGTAATATAAAAGGTTTTCCTTTTCTTTATTTTAAAAGGTAAAGTGGCTTATTAAGGATGTTTCTGGAGTAACATAAAAGCAAGCTCTCATGAACGTTAGATATTATGCCACACAGGAAAGAGAAAATTTTTCATTAATTTTTATAAACCACATACTCTGCTGCCTGTATGCCTTCTCCGGTTAGACATTGGAGAATGACTTCGGCTCCTTCGCCGCCGGTATTCTGGTGTATATGACCTACTTCGAGATCGTCTCCTGTGAGAGTGAGAATGGGATCTGGATCGAGTATAACGTCTATGAGAATGCCTCCTTGACCTTGACCTTTGGGAGAAATAAATTTAGGTGAAAACACTGGAACAAAATAATTAAAACCTTTCCCTCTTCCAAGGACGTATTCATTTATCCCTGCCTATCCTCAGCTCCTTCCTTTCTGAGCAAAGGGTATTCTTCCTCTTGTTCTCTTAAATCACTACAACCTCTGCCCTGTTCTCAGTCTATTCCTTCTACATTCACCCTTTTTCCACCTTACCTTATATGTTAAGGCTCTACCTTCTCGAAAAAAAAAAAACAAAAACCACTTATCACGCGTTATAATAAACTCCTTTGATTCTTGACACCATCTCCATACAGTTCCATATTCCCTTCACTGCTAAGTATCATTTCCTTTTCCAATCTTTCTTCAGCCTACTACAATCTAGTATCTGCTAAATTAATTAATAACCTAAATGCCCAACTCATCTAATAGATACTTATGAGTATTCATTTCTTGACGCTTTCTACAGCGTCTTACCCATCTGTCCACTGCTGACTCCTTAGCTCACCTATTTCTGATTATTTCCAGTTGCTCTCAGATAGTCCTCTTTCTTTGCCTATAAAATTAATCCAACAAATTCTTATTTACCATTTATATGACCCATTCTTAACTTACCCAGACCCCCAGACCAGTACTGATGACAGTCATAAAAATAACTTCTATATGGCACTCAATAAATGTTATAAATGCTAAGGGCCAGAAAGCTTAAAAAGAGAGCATATAAAGAAAGGGAATAAAACTAATGAGGAAAGATTTTCTAAAACAAAGGTGAACAATAAAAATGGGAGACTTAATAGCTAGATTTTGATAGGCTGTAGGAGTAGTAAGAGCCAAAGTTCTTTGGCAAGAGGATATGAAGATGTATTTAGAGAATAGCAAAATAGTACAATCTGCTAGGAATTAGGATACTTTATAAAGGAAACTACGAGTAAAGATTAGAAAAGGACTGAGACAACATTGTGTAAAATCTTGAATAATGAAAAGCTTCTTCCCGCGAAAGAAAACAATAAAATGAATTGCCTATCTAAAAGAAAAGTAATCATCTCTGGTGAGGGGTGAAATAGGTATAAAGACTTGTCTTTGTGCAAGAATACTAAATAGAAGGCCGTGGGGCCAGCCTGGTGGCGCACTGCTACAGTCCGCCGCTTGGGAAGTGTGGCGGCGCTCCCGCCGAGGGTTCGGATCCCACATACAGACCGGCCGCTCACTGGCTGAGCGAGGAGCGGGGGCAACACCGAGGGTTGCGATCCCGGTCCGGTACGGGCGTGACACTGAGGGTTGCGATCCGTTGCCGGTCACGAAAAAAAAAAAAAAAAGAATGCCGACCCATGGCTCACTTGGGAGAGTGTGGTGCTGATAACACCAAGGCCATGGGTTCGGATCCCTATATAGGGATGGCCAGTTACCTCACTTCGGAGAACGTGGTGGTGACAAAACCAAGTCAAGGGTTAAGATCCCCGTACCAGTCATCTTAAAAAAAAAAAAAAAAAAAGAATACCAAACAGGATTCCCTATTTTCCTTAAAGGTACAAATTTAAAGCCCCAATTTAAAAAATAAAAAATTTTTATAAATAAGAAAACCTGTCATTTAAAATATCAATTGTTACTTTTAAATAGAAATGAAAGTGAGACATAAATTTACAACTTTTCGGGAGTCCCTATTTTTTCTTTAAATCAGATAGTGGTCAATATTACAGGGGTATGGGAGGAGAGAGAGGAAGAGCAAGGGAATAAAGAGTGTGGGTGTGTTATTTAATCTTTTCAGGTGACAATCAAATTAATGAGAATATCTGAAAAAAGAGAACTCTTGGCTCAGAGTGGCAAATGCAAAGGCCCCAAGATAAAAAATACATTTATTTCTAGTTCTACACCCAAATTCTATCCAGTGTTATTCTGCACATGTGTATTTAATTAAATAATTGAGTTGTTAGTAAATCAAGCATGGTCTGGATCCTGGATATAACAGAGAAAACAGTATGGCTATGGACTTTTAAGAAAAATACTGCCTTAAAACTGATTCTTCTGTCTCATAGCCCCTTGCAAAAAGACATAAATCCTATGTCTGTACTGAAGAAATGACAATGATTTACCAAATTAACTGTCCAGGTTGTTTTTAACCTTTTTATCCTACCACAGTGCACCAAGGAAATCTGATAGTGAACTCTGCAGTGGTTCCCTAAAGAGTTTTTGCTGTTGTCAGTAGTGGGGCCCCCCACTGCCTCAACTGTATAATGGAGAGCTCCACCCAAGACACAGAATCAGAATCTTCAGGTAAAGGATGTAATTGGAACATGAACCTTAAAAAAGCGTTCCAAATCATTCTGATAACCAACCAGAACAACACACACCCATCAACCTTCCCTGCACTAAATTACACGCAAGTCTCCAATGGAGAAAACTGCCTTTTGGTTGTGCAAATATTGTTGGCATAAAACCAAACACATTCTCAAATACCAAGTACATTTAAATCAATCAGTATGTATTTAATTTGTATTAACAGCTAGTATTCAATAGATTAATTGGTCCAAGAGATGATTCTTATCTAAGTCTTCAGAATATATTATTCATTTCTAAACTCTGTGGTCTGAGAAAAACTGTTTAGTGATTTTGAATCTTTGGGGAAATTTCTACACAGAATGCAGCTAAAAACCCCTCTGCCTGAAAAAACTCAAGGAAGGCATTTTAAATATTATTTTAAACACACTTACCTGGATTTTGATCTTGATCGAGAATGGGATTCAGAGTGTTTGGAAACCCTTGATGGACTACGAGATCCTGACCTGCTCTCCGATTTTACACGAGCAGGAGTTCCCGTTGGAGATTTTGACTGAGAGCGAGACTCCTACCAAAGAAGACAGTATTACAAATGGCACTGGTCACGTAGATGCCTAACACCTAACATTTAAAGTACCGTAATTTATATTGATTGCTCCTGAAAAACAAATGGTTAGGCAACACCCTCCAGAAAAAATTTCAGCTCATTAATAACCCATTGTTAATACTGCTAACTGTCCTCAATAATTCCCTACTTGGACCAGATCACCAATTCTCATTTAACTAAGTAATCATGCAAATTCATCTACAACTTGATCATACAGACACTGGAACATAAACCATACATTTACTTAACCTAGGACCCATTCATTCTTCCAGATTCTTTTAATTCTACTTCACTCTTGCTTTCTACTTCTCTTCATTCTTCATTGAGTTTTTCATTTTTCATACTTCGTGTATTCTTCCCCAATTCAAACAATTCAAAATAGCCTTAAAAAAAATATTCAAGTGCTTCTATCTGACCAATCTTCTGTTCAATTTTTTCCCCCATTCAATTTTAATTTTCTGATCTTTAATACTTTTCATTAGCCTTCTTTTATCTTGATTTATCTTCCACATTCTTGGAAAAAACTCTTCAATTTCTTCACGAACATTAACCTTAATGGAAAAAGAACATTTAGTATATTTAAGCACGTGGGGATTATAAAACTCTGCTGGAGTTCAGAATGTTATCTACCAAATGGAAAAGCCAGCAGGTAAAGTGCAAATAACTAGTTTATTAAAAAAAAAACAATTTATAGTCTTTAAAACTGTTTAAGTCTAGTTTCTAGCAAAGAGAATTTACTGAATTTCTCTAAATGTTTTTTAACCATACTCTTCACCCTCCTCCCCTTTCATATTTCCTTCTTGTTCCTAAAATGTGAACAATTTCAATATAAATACTTAATTCAAACATAAATCTAATATTAACTGTATTTCCCCCCACCTAAGTGTTAAATTTCCACTATTTTATAACTTGAAGATTCTTAGTAATCTTAAAATAAGCTTTACTAAGTCATGTAAGAAATCAAAATATAGTTAAAGCAAAGCATCCCAAGCTGAATATTTGCACACACCTGTCTAAACTCACATTATAGCACACATGCCAAGGTCAAATAAAAAAAATAAATCAGCAAAATTACTAACACCCTCTCCCAATTTGTTCAAACAGTATCTTTGCTCATTCTGACTTAACCAGAAAGATATGTTCTGAAGACAAATATACTGAAAAAAGCTGAGGATATGAGGAAGCATAAAAATCTTAAAATTTTCCCTCTGGTTTGTTAATTCCTAAAATATGTATTTTTGCAACCGTGCCACTTTAAAATGCTATACTGTCCACGAAATATCATAATGCATAAGAAGTTACAAAATTTGTATCACAGTCTTTATCTTTGATCCCACCTCTTTTGGTCATAGTTTACACATATTTTATGCACTTATGTGTATTTATACTCCCTTCAATGACTATATCCTATATCAGAAAACTGGTTTTTGAAAAAGCTGGAAGTAACTCAAAACTTTCCAAATAAAATAATGTATAACTGATTAAAAGCTTGTTTAATTTGAAAGATACGATGCACTTATGACCAAAACAGGATGGACAGTTTGGTTTCTCTGTCAATTTAAGCCTTGATTATTAATGTAAATAATTATCCCAATATCACAAAAGGAATTTTACACTAATTTTTATTTATGCCCTAAGACTATCACACCACTTTCTTTTAACAGTTTTCTTAAACTTTTCCTTTAACTTCAAGTTTAATGTCAAAAGACTTACTTATCAAGAACTGTACTGATGTCACCAAGCTTACCCATTTTTTCAGATGAAAACAAAACTGAAATATACAGCTACCTTTCTGTTCAATACCAACCTTTCCGATTTAGCTATCTACAATAAACCTCTCAACCACATCTTATATACTCTGTAAATTCCTGGACAGATGCCTGGAGCAAGTATAGCAATTTAGGTTTTTTCATTCATTGAAACTGTAAAAGCAGCATACTTAGTACTTAAAAAAAAAAAAAAAAGTATGGCCAATTTGCTCGTAATTGGGTCTCACAGACTGGTTCATTAACTAAACTGATAAGAACATCTTCCCTTTTTACGGCATTCCCTTCTATAAAGCGTAATGTTACCTCTAGCGTAACATTAATTTATGCTATAGAATACCAATAGCTGGAATTGTATCTACGAACATCACATAGCCCTTGTTATATATACATATCAGAAGGCTTTGCTCTCTAAGACCCTGAAAACCTTTAATTTTACTAGGACAGAAATAAAAATCTTACATTAAAACCCCAAATTTACTCTTAAATGTTTATTTAAAGCTTTCCAGTATGTGACAAATATTTTATGGTCCAAATATTTAAGTATTTTTGCTTTTCAAGTCTTCTCTCATAAACACAACTTTGGTAGTTGTTGAAAATGACCACTTCTTAGGAACAAAGTAACTCAGATCTTAAAGTTTAAATCCCAGTTCTGGCATACCAACAGTGCAGTAATGTATGATAGGATGTCTTTTTAAAAGACATCAGTATATTCTGCTTCCTACTAACCAAGGTATTCATAAATACCTAACCTTTTTTTTTTTTTTTTTTTTTTTGTCTTTTTTCGTGTCCGGCAACGAACCGCAACCCTCAGTGTCGCGCCCGTACCGGACTGGGACCGGCAACGGGATTGCAACCTTCAGTGCTGTGCCCGCCCCTCACTCAGCCAGTGAGCGGGAACCGGTCTGTATGTGGGATCCGAACCCTCGGCGGGAGCGCCGCCGCGCTCCCAAGCGGCGCACTGTAGCAGTGCGCCACCGGGCCGGCCCCTAACCTCCTTTTTTTGCCTGCCCTTCTCTTTTTACCTTGGGGAAATCTGAACCTGCATAAATTTCTTCATGGAATAATCCAAAGTTAAGAAACACTCCTCTTAGCTTCCTCTAACTCCTAGTTATAAAGCTGTCGCTATCATTTTAACTTCCAAAAACAATTTACAAACTTATCTAAAAAGGTAAATCAATAACCATCAGTAAACAACCTAAAGAATAAGCTACTAAGTACAAAATAAATTCTTTAGAAATATTTTTACTATAACATAAAAATGGTCCATCATTGGTAGTTAGTAGTCTTTAAACAGAAAAATCGTCACATTAATACCTATATTTACCATTTTCAAATAACTTAGAAGGGGTGGTATCTACTCTGTTTCACTTAACCTGTTCTGAAAGCTGTTCAGTTAAGTAATTCTACAAATTCCTCTGTAACCTGGTTCCTGAAACCAACAACTATTAATTGAAACGGGAAGATTAAAGACTCAATCAATTCATATCACAGATTTTAACAGAAATCTTAAATAGGCCTCTAGTCTACCTTACGTACTATAAACCAGAAGCCAGGCAGAAAGTTCTCACAGCCAGCAGGATTTGCTTAAACAGGTTTTTGTTTATTTGCTTGTTTTTATCAAGATACCTCTGGCAGTGGTTAAAGGATACAGCCACAACTGAAAAGGAGGGAACTAACTATGAACACTAAGAAAATACTATAGTGAATCCAACACAAGCCCACTAAGAACCATATTTCTATGTTAAAATACAGTTGTATTTTACACACTTTAAATAATCACAATACCATGTAACTATTCTTTTTACCAGGAAAGTTATTAAATATATGTACATGTTGTTGTGGAACATGAAGTATTTCTACAGCAAGCAATAATTGTAGTCTTTTAATACAGCCTGTATCATGTTACAGACGGGGAAAAAAAAACTCAACACATATGCTTAGTACTTAATACCCATTAAAATAAACACATAAACTAATAAATGCTACACTGTAACCCATTCCAGTATTAAGGCCAGGCAAATTCTATGCAGGTAATGATACAAAATTTACACAAATTCAAGTCTGAGTACAGTATTAAACTTGTAAAACAAAATTTCTCCAAGTAAAATTGGAGATCTATTGCCACAGAAATGCATTTAAATATAATTTAAATTATATGTCCCAAGAGGGGGAGAATGTACTTAAATTACCTAAATACTTTATAGTATTTACTGTACTAAGAACTTCATTCTTTTGGACTTGTAAGAAACCTACATTTACTCAATTGTTTTAATTTCAATCTACAGAAATAATATTTCTGCTTCCTCCTTGAAGACTCTTCTTAAACCATAACTGCTATTAGAGCAATCCCTTAAAAACAAAATACCGATTGTTCATTTTAAACAATATTTTCTTTTCCTTCTTTCAAGGCCATACCTGCATGCTGCATTCTGAATGAAGTTAATGTGGTTTCTGCCTGCAAAGGTTCACAGATGTTCTAACACTGTATGTCTGTATATTTTCTAAAGTTTGGAATACTTTTGGGAACTTTTAACACAATGAAATGATTTAGTAATTGGCACTTATACACATACTGTATAATCAAATTTAAACTCATGCCACAATTGTGAAATTATCTGTAAAATTTATAATCTTTTGTACAAATTTTAAACATGGCTCATAAACCTGCTAACTTATATATCAAGATCAATTGTAACATTCAAAACACTGGTGCTTAAGTGGCAATTTCAAAGGTAGAGAAAACAAGCTTACAAGGACTAAAGTGGTTTAGCTATATTAAAAGCCAATGAATAGCAACTAAAACCAAACTAGGAATGTGTTACAGCATTCTCTACTTATGTTCCCATCCTCTGGTGTCATACAGTATTTATGAATCTTGAGTAAGTAAGATAACAGGACCCTGGTTTCAAGGAAAAATAACTTTTCTTCTACCTCAAGTCACTCACATCTGTGGTGAAAATCATGAGACAATAAGGATTATACACAACTATATATGGGAGTAACTTAAAGGAGGGAAGGGGAACAACATTTCCTTTTCATTATTCTCTCCACTTTTCTACAGTGTTTACAATCTTTTCCTCATCTGATTGTTACCATTTTCTCGCCTCCACTTCTGTCCTGCTAAATCTGTTAGGACATATAAACAAATAACAATCAGTATTAATTTACTTAGCATGTGAATACACACTTTAC